CACACTAACCCAACTAACAAGCTCTCACGACTAGCTACACTAAAGAGCTTGACAAATAGTTTACGGTAATGTAAAGAGAGAGTAAGATTATACCGCCGTGTCGAGGAATGATCCAATCAATCACAAGAATCAATATCAATGAAGACCAATCACCTCAAAATCAAATGATGACAATGATTTTTTACTGAGGTTCACTTGCTTGCCGGCAAGCTAGTCCTCATTGTGGCGATTCACTCACTTGGAAGTTCACGCGCTAATTGGCATCACACGTCAAACCCTCAATAGCATGTTGCACAACCAACACAAAATGAGGATCACACAAGCCACGAGCAATTCACTAGAGTACATTTTGGCTCTTCGTCGGGAAAATGTCAAGAACCCCTCACAATCACCATGATCGGAGCCGGAGACAATCACCAGCCTCCGCTCGACGATCCTTGCTGCTCCAAGCCGTCTAGGTGGTGGCAACCACCAAGAATAACAAGCGAATCCCGCAGCGAAACACGAACACCAAGTGCCTCTAGATGCAAACACTCAAGTAATGCACTTGGATTCACTTCTAATCTCACAAAGATGTTAAATCTATGATGGAGATGAGTGGGAGAGCTTTGACTAAGCTCATAAGGTTGCTATGTCAATGCAAATGGCCAAGAGAGTGAGCTAGAGCCGGTCATGGGGCTTAAATAGAAGCCCCCATGAAATAGAACCGTTGTACCCCTTCACTGGGCGCTGCTCGGGGTGACTGGATGCTTCGGTCAGATCAACCGATCGCACCCTGCCAACGTCCGGTCAACGGATGGCTGCCACATCATCCCTCTCTTCAAATACTGAGTGCCTGATCCCAACAGTCAAGTGATGACCGGACGCACCAACTCCAGCGTCCGATCGTTTCCAGTAAGGTTCTAGAGGCGACCGGACGCATTCGGTCATGCCCGACCGGACTCACCCAGCGTCGGGTCACACAATGTCTCCTCCGTGTGCTGCTACGTCAGTGGGACCGGACGCACCCAGCCAGCGTCTGGTCACGAAGTGACCCAGCGTCCGGTCGAAGACCAACGCCAGCGTCTTCACTGCTTCCACTGACCGGACGCTCCGGTCCAGTTGAGACCAGTGTTTGGTGCTTTCTGTGAGACCCTATCTTTTCTGTACATGGCGCCGGTGGCACGGTCGGACTGTCCGTACTCTACGGGCGAACACTCCGCCGGTGAAGTTTCTTACCCTTGCTCCCAAGTGCTAAACACAATGTGTATCACCATTGTGCATGTGTGTTAGCATATTTTCACAAACATTTTTAAGGGTGTTAGCACTCCACTAGATCCTAAATGCATACGCAATGAGTTAGATCATCTAGTGACACTTTGATAACCGTATTTTGATACGAGTTTCACCCCTCTTAATAGTATGGCTATCGAACCTAAATGTGATCACACTCGCTAAGTGTCTTGATCACCGAAATGAAATAGCCCCTACCACTTTTACTGTTGCCTTGAGCTTTTTATTTCTCTCTTACTTCTTTTCCAAGTCCACACACTTGATCATCATCATGGCATCACCGTCATCATGTTATGATATTCATTTGCTTCGCCACTTGGAATGTGCTACCTATCTCATAAACACTTTGATAAACTAGGTTAGCACTTAGGGTTTCATCAATTCATCAAAACCAAACTAGAGCTTTCACCCACTTAGTCCCTGAGCCTAGTAGTAGGTGAAGTAGTCACGTGGTGCCAGGGTCCAAAGTAGTAGTCTTCAGGTGCTGGCCCAGTCCCCAATGTCGTTGGAAACCAGTGTAGAAATAAATACAATCATCTCAAGATGACGTGTACACACATAGTCTCCGAGCCTGCTGAAAAGATTTTGAAGATATCTTATAGCAGGGTCAAAGAATTTTTAATAAAAGCTTGCCAACATCATCTGCCATGTACTTCACAAGACTCCAGACGTGCTATCCAAGATCAGCACCCTGATCCGAACATCATGGAGCAACTTGATAGCACACCGATGAGACGTAGCAAGATCCGACCACCAAGGGAGTCCCCAGCTTAGCTGGCGATGCTTGCACGAAGAATCCAAACACCGAGAAGTTCCCAGTGTAGCTGAAGATGAAGCCCATGCGATGAGCAGTCCAACCAACTGGTCGGTGGCAAAGTGAACGCCGAGCAGGAGTGAGTGTCGAGCAGTCCGACCAGTTGGTTAGCGGTGAAGTCTGTTCGATAGGTGGTCTGACCACTCGGACGATGATCATCTTGTCCAGTCCCTGAGCGTAAGCTCATTGACCGAACCGTACCCCTATGAAACAAATGTGTAGAATGGGTAGTACATGATGTAAAAATAAAAATATATGAACTCCAAAGAAGAATCAGCAATGGTGATGAAATAGCGTATGCAACTTGACGATCAGTTGGTGTGAACACTTAGTGTTATTCTAAAGATGTGTTTATATTTAATATAAACCGTCCGATTAGTTAGTGTGTAGCTGAGTCTCCAGCCCTAGCTAGCCTATTAACCATAACGTAGAGCACGGAGCCCGTGTCCGTGTAGGAAGAGCAGGGCGTCGCTAAGGAGCCGCTGCTAACCACCCCTAACGCAGAGGGCAGGCGCTCGTGCATGTGTAGGGAGAAGCCGGAGATAGGGCCGTCTTTGGGAACATCCGAGCATCAATATGACTGTTTGGGGCTTTGCCTTAGGCTTAGTTATATGTCATCTTTAAGATGGTATACATGAAAGAAAAATCGTTTGAAGAACAAACTTGGAGAAAACAGCTCGGAGAAACATCATGGAGATATATGAAGGTTGAGGAATATTTAGAAAAATATTAAAGCGTGACTTAGCTTTAGACAAAATGTCTGGTCGGTGTCGACGAAATAGCCCGACTCTCGAGCTTTCTGGCATGTCATCATGGCGGCGGTGCGATCGTTATAGCGCCGTTCTTCGCGACGATCATCATTGTGACGCGGCAAGTGGTTGGAGCAAGTAGTCCAGGAGACGTTGTTCTTATATTACTGGTCGGCCTTAGACAAATCAGATTCAGGGAAATCAGTGACGTAGGACTTGGGCCGCTCGCTTAGCGGCTCCCTGGTGGCTTGACGTGGCTCACTTAGCGGCTCACTTCATGTTCGAGTTGGATCCCGCATCACTAGGATGTAGATCATCATTGATCGTTTTTTGCTAGCTTGCTTGCATCATCTTCATGTCGTGGTGATGTAGACCACGCATAATTTCCTTGCTTGCATGGCTTTGTGGATTGGCCGAACAGGGGATCATTCTGTACGTATGCCCCATTAATTTGCGTTGTCGATCCGGTTGACAAAGAAATCTAGGTGAGTCGATAGCGAGGTCCCCGTCGTCGATGAGGTACGACCAGTCGACGGTGTGAGTCCCGATGAGACCGTCGGCAAGGGCTGTCGTGGCTTCCTGCCAATAACAATCGTCATGTAGACAAGCAGAGAACTAGGGATGCACGAGGATATACATAACTCATAGACCATGTTTAACTAAAATAAAAGTATGACTTAGCTTTTGGATCCATGAACGTAGGTGTCAACTGTCAGATTGCTGCATGGTGTTGTAGACGTGGCCGCTGCCGCTCCAGGTTGTTAGCCGCCTTGATTAGGATCTTCGGGCTTTGAGGTTTGCCGTACGTGAGGCGTGGTCGTGTTGATGTAGCCATGGGATGGATCCGCGGGAGCGACACTGGTACGGATCTGAGAGAGCCGTGCCCCCCGTAGACCCTGCGTGACTCTAGCTAGCTATCGCGTAGGTTTCCACAGGCCGCGGAATCACGCCCTCCGTCATTGGAGACGGCTTGACTCCGCGATCTATCCGTTGCCGCCGGCGATGAGACACTAAGTCCCGCCGGAGGTTGTTCAAGGTCGCCGTCGTGAAGAGCCGATTCCCCACGATGATGATAGAAAATTTTCCATCTGGTTCGCCATGGATTCAACACGCACCCCCCCTACCTGGCGCGCCACTATCGACGAAATACGTCCGGCAGTCTACCGAGGGGTATGTCCACGGTAGTAGATGAATTGGTGGAGGTGCGCATGAGGGAACCGAATGGTGGCACAGAACACAAGAGACAACGATCAGACAGGTTCAGACCATCAGCTTGACGTAACCCCCTACGTCATGTGTCTTTGTAAATTATATTATGAGAGATGATATGCCTTAGGCTAAGCCTAAGATCCGTCTAGGGATGTCGACTAGAAGACCCATGCCCCTCCTTATATGCTCTGGAGGGGTAGGGTTACAAACAAAGTATCCTATTTTGTATTATACAATATCTAAAAAAATCACATCTTCTTATAGCCTTGCGGTGCACGCCGACCAGTGCCGTGCGCCGCATGCCTTTTATCTTGTGGGCTGGGCCACCTCTGATGGTGCGACCATATCTTGTCCTGTGGGTACCGGACGTCGTACCCCCACAACTAGTGCCCCCGATTTTGTGTGTGTGTGAATTAATTTAGATTATAGAATAGAAAAACATATATATCAAGTTGTATTGGTGATACTTCAAAAACACCATTATTACTTCAAAAAACAAAAACGAAAGCACAAGTGTACTGGTTAATGATTAATTGAACCCAAGAGCAAGTTCAGTGCCCTTTATTGTTTTCATTTTTTAGGAAAACATAAAAGTAGTCATTTTATGACTTCAGCATAACCGTTTTTTTGACAATTTTCTCATTATAGTTATTCAAAATATGGGGAAATTTCATAACGACCATTTTTAATTTTCACATTATAGTATCATTTCCGATCATTTTCATCATCATATCGTCATTTTTTTTCTTCTAGAATTGACCCATTAATTGATTAATTAATTTACAAGTACAAATACATCTGAGCACAGAATTACAAGCTATAATCTAAATTAATTAACAATTTAACTACATACTGATACACTAATCACACTATTCTTATTACACCTCCAAAATTCACCGTTCAAGTGCCTGCTAATCGGTGATATCTACCAGCAGCACTTCAGCGAGCATGATTCATCAGCTAGAGTAGTCGGACATGGCGAACGAGCAGCTCGACGAGCCGCCCTTGGGCAGCGGACTCCGGGGCGGCGACCGCTGCGCCTGCCCGTCCAGTGGCGCTGGCGCAGCGGCGGTCGCCCCCGCCGCGGCATTGCACGCCGGCTGCTCCTTCCCCTCCTCGGACCTCTCGGCTGGCCGCCTGATCTCCTTGAGCAGCGCCACGACGTCCTTCATCGCCGGCCGGTCCTCCGCGCGGTGGGCGATGCAGAGCATGGCGACCGAGAACACCTGCAGCATCTCCTGCACCTGCGCCTCCGGCTTCCCCCGCAGCCGCGGGTCCAGGAGCTCCGCCGTGGCCCGCTTGGCGCGCACGTGCTCCCGCACCCACTGCACCAGGTGCGTGCCGCCCGGCAGCGTCGGGTCCAGCGGGTGTCTCCCCGTCAGAATCTCCAGCACCACCACGCCGAAGCTGTACACGTCGCTCTTCTCCGTGATCCGTTGCATGGACGCGTACTCTGTTTTGATTTGAGGCACCAACAAGAAAAATGTCAGCGAAAATGTAGTAGATTTTTTGAGGAAATCGATGCTATGACAGCCATTTACCTGGCGCAATGTAGCCATAAGAGCCGGCGATGCGTGGCGCCTTGGACGAGTCGAGCTTGGCGGAGCCGGACGCGACGGCGCCGGAGAGGACGCGGGCGAGGCCGAAGTCGGCGAGGTACGGCTCGTTCCGGGGGCCGAGGAGGACGTTCATGGCCTTGATGTCGCAGTGCAGGATGGCCGGCAGGCAGTCGTGGTGGAGGTACGCCACGGCGTGCGCGACGCCGAGCGCGATGTCGTAGCGCGCGCCCCAGTCGGCGGCGCCCTTGACGCCGCCGCGGTGGAGGAACCCGCTGAGGCTGCCGTTGGGGAGATAGGTGTAGAACAGCAGCTTGGTGCTGCGGTTGGCGCCCCACCCGAGCAGCCGCACGATGTTGCGGTGCCGGATGGAGCCCAGCGCCGAGATCTCGTTGCGGAACGCGCCGGCCTCGTCGGACGACCACATCTTCTTCACGGCGAGGGAGTCGCCGTTGGGGAGCGCCACGCGGTACACCACGCCCGAGCTCCCCGTCCCGATCACGTTTGCCGACGTCAGCGCGCGCACCACCTCGTCCACGGAGAAGTCCAGCTTCTGGTACAGGGTCACCTCCCATGTCTCGTCGGCGCCGTGCCCATGGATGGCGCCGTTGCGGCGCCGCGAGCGCGCGAGCACGTAGGTGGCCGTCAGGAGGAGGAGAGCGCTCACCACAACCAGGATCGTCATGGCCAGCTTCAGCGCCGAGACGGCCTCGTGCCGGGAGGCCTCGTCGCCGCCGGCGCCCACGACGAGCACGTGGTTGCCCGCGATGTCGCTGAGCGGAAGCTTCTGGAAGAAGGGCGTGTCTGGGAGCTCACCGGAGAATGTGTTGTACGAGATGTTGAGCATGACGAGGTTCTCCAGCCTCGCGAGGGGCGCAAGGCTGCCGGAGAGCTGGTTGTACGATATGTCGAGGCTGCCGAGCTTATCCAGCTCGCCGAACTGCGCTGGAATCTCTCCGGAGAGACGGTTACAGCTGATGTTAAGCGAGATCTCCAGCGAGGGAAGCTTCCCGAGCTCCGGCGGGATGCCACCGGAGAGCCCGTTGTCGCCAAGGTCCAGCAGCTGGAGCTTCTCGCAGGAACCGAGCTCCGGCGGTATGCCGCCGGAGATCCGGTTCTTGCCGAGGTTAAGCTTCGTCAGCTCCGGCAACAACCCAATGCCGGGGCCCAGCAGACCGGTGAGCTTGTTGTCAGAGATGTCAACAAACTGTAGGCTGCGGGGCAGCTCATCCGGCAAAGAGCCAGACAGGGCATTCGAGTGCAGGTCCATGAATTCTAGGTTGTCGCAGCCGGACAGCGCCGCCGGCAAGGGCCCGACAAGGCGGTTACTGCCCAAGTCGAGGAAATTGAGGTTCTTCAGCTTGCCGATCTCTTCAGGTATCGCCCCGGAAAGTCGGTTGTTGTTGAGCCGGAGCCGGTACAGATTAGTGCAGTTGCCGATCTCCGGCGGTATGACCCCGGAGAGGTCGTTGTCGAGGAGCAGCAGCTTGGTCAGGTTCTGCAGCGCGAACAGCTCCCTCGGGACGGCGCCGGTGAGGTTGTTGTACGAGAGGTCCAGGGACTGCAAGCCCTCGCACTGGGCCAGGCCCGCCGGCACGGGGCCGGTCAGCCGGTTCTGCCACGCGTAGAACAAGGTCAGGTTGCGCAGCCGCGGGAAGTCGATGCTGATCTCGCCGGACAGCTCGTTGTTGTCCACCTCGATGTCGGTCAGCGACGTGCAGTTGGAGAGCTCCGTCGGAATGACGCCGGTGAGCTTGTTGGTGCTGAGCTGCAGCTGCTGCAGGTTCGGCAGCGTGCCGAAGCTGCTTGGGATGGGCCCCGTGAGCGAGTTGAGCGACAGGTCGATGAGCACGAGGTCCTTGCAGTTGGCGATCTCCGGCGGGATGGTGCCGACGAGCTGATTCTGCCACAGCAGCACCGTCTGCAGCTTGCGCAGCTGGCCGAGCTGCGGCGGGATGGGCCCGGAGAGGGAGTTCTGGTACAGGTAGAGGCTGGTGAGCTCGGTGCAGTTGCCGATGCTCTCGGGGATGGAACCGGTGAGCATCGCGGTGTAGATGGCGATCGTCTGGATCTTCTTGAGCTGCCCGATCGTCTCCGGCAGGCTCCCGGAGAGGCCGGTCTCGGCGAGGCCGAGCATGGTGAGGTCAGTGCACCCGCCGATCTCCGGCGGCAGCGGGCCCTTGAGCGCCTGGTTCCCACCGGAGCGCAGCACCTGAAGCTTCTTCAGGTTGCCGATGCTCGCCGGGATGGCGCCGCTGAGCTCGTTGTCGTAGAGCGTGAGCGACGTCAGGCTGGCGAGGTTGCCAATATCGCCGGGGATGGCGCCCCGCAGCGAGTTGGTGTTGAGCGCCAGCGACTGGAGCTTCGTCAGCCGGCAAAGCTCGGGCGGGATCGCGCCGGACAGCTGGTTCTTGCTGAGGTCAAGCGTGGTCAGCTCGGCGAGGTCGCCGAGCCCCTTGGGGATCGCGCCGGTCAGGTTGGTGCCGGAGAGCACCAGCGTCTTGAGCGACGAGCTCAGCGGCCGCAGCTCCGGCCCCGCCGGGAGCGTCCCGCCGAGGTCGACCGACTTGATGGACAGCGACACGACGTTGCCGCGCGCGTCGCACCCCACGCCCTGCCACCGGCACGGGGTCGCGTCCGCCGCCCGCCACGACGAGTCCAGTGCGCCGCGCGCCGGCCCCTTCCATCGCAGCAGCGCCTGGCCTTGCTCGTTGACGCCGCGGCACGGCGCGAGCAGCGCCGGGGAGAGACACACGAGGAGCGCGACCAGCCTCGCTGCGGTGGTGGCGCGCAGGCGTGGAGGCATTGGTGGAGCAGAGAGTGGCCGAGGCCGCGGGCGAGTGGTGGCACTGGCACCTCCTCGTTGCCTTGGGATTGTAGAGGGGGAGACCCCAGGATTTGTTTATAGCACACAAAGGGTTTAGAGATCTGGATCCAAATGAAATAATGAAGCAACAGCTTAGCTTTTGCAGGATATTCTTTTCGATAAACAACAGATTTGATTAGGTACAGTGACTTGTACTATCCCTACTCTCTACTCTCTAGTCTTTAGCAATAGATCCTACTGCGCACACTGTTGAGATTTGTGCTTGGTTGCTAACACACAAAATCAGCGAGTGTGGTTTCACTCTGGCACAAATCTTGAAGCCGTTTTAACGGCGATGATAGCGCAAATGGTCTCGCATTTCCTAGATACAGTGATGTGTGTGAGTGAGTGGTTCTTCTACTTCTACTTGGAATACATGTCCAAAATTTGGTTCTTGAAGTTTCAGATCAGAAAGGAATATTGGCAATTTTCAATTGAAGTGTGGGGGAAGAAAGAAGATGGAAGGAAGATGGCATGGATGGAGCCCAGCTGATGCCATCATTTGGATATGTTTATCCCTAGTTGATGTACTCATTATTTCCATTGGGTGATCCTGAATTGTTAATTGCTTGCTGCTGTGCTCAGTGCTCTATTGAGGAGGTGAGTGAGAACATTTCTCCTCCCCGGGTTCCGGGAAATGCTAATCGTAATTCCCTGGGTAATCTGAAGTTCTGAACTTTATCCTTTTTTAAGTACAGTGTTTCTAGCGCCTGTGAAAGTTTGTTCTTTTGTACTGCACTGATGCAGGGTAGTCAGAACTCAGAAGTTAACAGCGGCTGCTGCTGGTGTTTGTTTACTACTTAATTCACATGCTCTCCTCTGGGCTCTGGGTGTTTACCTTCTAAATGATGGTCTGTCCATCTGCAGTGATTCAGAGCTGCTTCTGTGAAAAAAAAACTTTAAAAAGAATATAAATTTGTTGCACTGTGAGAGCAGTAGAAATGATATCCACACCAAATTACACTTCTTTTTTCTTACCAAAGTCAAAGCTGGATCATCATTCCTCAAGCTTTATCAAATCTACACCTCAATGCATGTTTTTCTTGAACTTTACTGTTGTGCCGGCGTATTACTTTCTGACGATGGAAAAGGAAGATACAGAAGTGACAACTCCAATGAGAGAAAAATCATGCAGCAGTGTTGCAGGTGAACATGCTCTCTGTGATCTTGGTAATGCAACCTCTCTGACACAGATGATCTGGCTAACATTTCCCGTATAAAATCAATCCCTCTTAGATCTAATCTGCGTTCATCTTTCCCTGCACTTGTCTCAGATCTGCACAAACTTACGGACGGTAGCAGTTTGCCACAGGTAGTTGTACTGTACATATATTGCCTTGAGGCAGTAGTTCCTATCTGTGTTAAGATAATTTCATGCAACATGCTATACTACAAAAATTTAAGTGTTTCTGTCATATAATTCTACTACTGAGTAGTATTACTGTAATCATCCGACAAGAGAATTGTGCTCTTGCACATGGACATTGGACAGAGGATTAAACTTTTGGGAGGTCTAGCAGTCTAGCCACTAGCCACACAACACTAAGCTTCTCTCTATTAGTAATTCATGTGGATGAGAACTAAAACACTGCAAGACAGGGTGGTAGTGGTACATCAACCATATGCAAATTCATAAAAAAATTCATATGCTCAATTTACTGTTTCTGCACCTTCTCCTTCTGTGTGGTACTAATTTCCAAGTTCAGAGAGCATGCATGTTCGCATCACATGCCTAACTTTCCAGAGAAACCGAAAGGAGCCCAATAAAATACAAGGACCGGCAAACTCTTATTACTGTCTGTGAACTCGATCATAGGAATCAGAGGAGTGTCCGGGTTAAGAAAAATGAGCAAGTGAGGTAGAATAAGATAGGAATCTTAGGGGAGCGGCACATGCAGTAAAGGAGTGTAGGTTAGTATAATACCTATAGATAGACAAATAAAATATTACTACCAACTTAACCGTGCAAAAGGGTGGCAACCCCGCTGGAAAGTAACAGATAAAGATTAGGTGCTAGTGAAAATCTGAAACTTTTATGTTCCAGTTGCCATTTTACTTCAAAAAAAAAAAAGAACTTAGAACTACTGTGTTAATAAGATAACGTTTTGCTATATGTTCTAGACTTCTAGTTGAATTTATACGTTGGTCACCTAAACTAAAAAAAAGAACAAGGTTCCTTTTTTGCTATATGTTGTAGTTTAAATTATCTCAAATTAGCTTTGTGTTAGTAGTAGTATGTACTAAGTCAATGTCATCCAACAAACAGACCACAAGTGCATGAAAAATAGAAACCTTATTAGGTTAAAAATGCAATCATATGAGCGACGCCAAACATGTTAGGTGACATGTTAGGTGTCACACATGACTCACAATGTTTAAGTAATAGGGATGGAAGCATCATGGGAATACAGAAACGGCTTTGGATTTAGATCCCATCAAGGTGCTGTGACCTAGTGGTAATGTGTTGTGATCACAACATGGAGCACACATGGTTAAGTTATAAGGGAGGACTTATGGCTACTTTAAATAAGTTAAAACATGTACCTTGTTCTAGCTGTGATGCATGTTCTTTTACATCTCATTCATCCGTTAGTTCTCTGACACCAGAGCATTTTCCGGCCCTGCTTGCTGCCAAGATCTGATCTGATCTTGTACTAATTTAAAATTTTCACGGAACATGGCCAAACTGTTATGTACTTGGATAGATAGATAGATAGATCCAGTTGATGGGTTCCTGCAGGTACAGTGATCAAAAGCTGGCTATGATTGTGGGTATTACATTTACCGAATGTGGCCTCTGTCAGTTCAGAACATTCTGCTGCAAAGAAGCTGCAGAAGGTTAAACAATGATGAAAGAGAGATTAACATTTAATTACCCTGTCATTAGACGCTTCCTCCAACGTGTTCTTTGCCGAGCAGTACTACTGCTGTCAGAAGGCAAATTACTAGATATTTACAAAATGCAGTCAATTTCAGTTGTACCGAGCACTGCTGTTGTACCAGTATATATATTTCAGTACTAAACTACCGTGGCTGATGGACATGAATCTCTTGTTTGCAAGTTAATATGCCTAAAATGCTAGACCTAACTGATCAAAATTGTACTAGTTAAACATCTCTAAGTCAAAAGACAGACTATAGCATTTACTGATTTACCCCTGGTAACTTCTGTAAAGATGGGTACATTCTACTACTAACAAAATGCAACTGCTTTCATAAAAAAAAATGCAACTGTTAAAGATAGCTGCAGAAAAGGTAAAGGTTTCCCAGTCACTTCTTGCTTCCAAAGTGCTATACCTAAAGGGATACTAGAGAGTAGAGACAGCAATCCAAGGTTTCTGGCCTGGTAACTACTGCCCCAAATTGCTGAGGTTGGGGTGTTCTGTCTGCCTAGTCTATATGTCTATCTGATCTGATGGTATCTTGCCATGGTTCCCAAGCTTCAATTTTTGTCAGGGCATGACAAGAACAGACTGAGCTCAAACTAATGGAACTTTAACGGACTATATAGGAAGAATTAATGTACATAATGTTTGAACATTTCCTAAAAGCAATAATGCTTCAATTTGGACATGTTACTTTTGGAGATTAAGGAACTCCACATACAACCACAGCAGGACAAAGCAAGGGATCTGAATGGGCCATGAGATATTGAGTGAAAGCCAAAGTTTAAGGATCAAACCACACACACATCTCAACTAATTCTCGTGACTCCTTTTTCTGTTCTCCACGTGGTAATGCCACTGATGATTAGCCGCAAAGCGGATTAGGAACCCATCATAATTCATAATTTGCACGAGCAATCTCATAATGCATACAATTGCTGCGGAACACATCCAAACTTCGATCTGATCCTGATCGGAAATGACCTTGATTTATCTCTGAACACCAATCGAAGATTAAAAGGAATCCCCAAATTGAAACCCATGAGGATCACCACGATTTTTATCAGCAGGATGTGGACTGCCACCATGGTAGTTCAGTAGGCACTACTCCATGTTTCTTTCTTTCCCTATAAAAACTTACAAGAAAAGAGTGTTTTGTCAAGCACTTTGGAGCACAAGGCCGGTCATGTCGATTTTCTATGCCTGCCTGCCCTTTTCTGTTTTGAAGCGTGTCTCGAAGACCTGCTCTTGCTTGCTCAATGTGATGTTCAGAAGAAACCATATGGAAATGCATAAAGATTACAATGTAATGCAGGGCAATGGGTCACTGTCTTCAGTGTCCCCTAGGCGCCAGACCTAGTGGTTGGCGACGATTTGTGCTCCCAGGTTTTCAGGATTTTGTTGGCTTAGCGCCCACATCACTGTCTTCAGCTTTTATGCATCTGGGCAATAATCTATTTTTGGATCAGGGAGTGGGTTATTATGTAGGTCACAAAGCAGGCTGATCAGTTGCGGTTGGGTGTGATTATGCACGGCTATTCGATTGCTTTGATGAGTAGTTTACATTTGCAAAAGAGTTTAGGAGGGCCACTAGAGAGAAAATAACTGAACAAAATCAGGTGATTTATTTTTTAAAGAAAAATGTTCGAGATTTTCAGCATTCAGCTGAAACAAAGAAACAGAACATACATACAAAAGAGCAGTTCAAAATTTGCAAGTGCAAAAAGGATGTCTGAAGGCTGAAGCATTAACAAAAACTCCAACCTCATGGGTGCTTTGACTGAACGTGCATGCTTACATGAGTTAGAGGAAAAGGCTGATTCGGCTGATTCGATTACCAACTCTATATATGATGACTGCCCTATCAGCTTTGGATGTTTCTTTAGATAATCAAAATTTGTAATTTGCCATCTAATGGCGACAATTATGGAGCATTATAGTAGGGCCTGCAGATGTATTTGTATATAATGCATTTCTGCAGGCGCGTTGAGTGCCTGAATGTGCATTTCCAGTTGTCATTCTGCTTGGGAAGCTTAGACCATTCACATTTTAGTT